TACTAGCTGACTGATCAAGTCCGATCAAGTATTGTAAAATAATTTTTTTATGTGTTTCACACCGTGTGTAAAATCAGCTGTATAACATCAACGTTTCCTCCTGTTGTGTACGTGTTGAATATTTTACTACCGTTTAAGTGATCTACAACAAAAAGGACTCGTCGCCCGGATTTCCTCCTCTACAATAAAAACGTACTTGTGTTCAAAGGAGAAGAGAAGTCCAGGTCAGAGATGTATGATGAAGCTTTAGATGATCTTTCTAAAAAATTTTACATGCTAGATCCATTGTTTTTTGGTGATATGAAGTTCCTTATCTGCTACGCGGCAGCAGAATGGAAGGTTGGTTTCTACGCAATAGATGGGACGTCGGAGGCTGCATCAAAGCCAAGTCGTTTGGTCCACCTCGCGGGTGTATTCTTCCTATTCATCGGATTGCAGTTATTATCAATATAATGCGTATTTTAATTACAATAAGCCCTTTTCTCTCAAATACCTATTGGTAAACCGCTTAGACTACAGCCGAATTCAGTAATTATATTCGATTACACTTCGGTCACAAAAGAAGTTTCAATTAAGAGCTTGCCGTATGCTGATGATATAAATTCTCGCATTAAATTCCTATCATCTATGTACGCTTGTGCAAGGGGATGTCTGAGCCTTGTACAAGCTGAGGAGAACTCCCCAACCATCTGTTATGTTGAAGGAAGTAAAGTTTATCAATTGAAAATGAAAACTCGTGGAAAAAGAGCTTCGCCAGAGAATGAAAACCAATTACAGATAATGACTAAACATGTACTCGTCGGGCTGGAATGTCTACACAAGGGAGGTTTTGTTCATCGCGATATCAAATTGTCTAATATTTTGTACGTCATATTCGATAATCCAGCCAATTCCAGTTATGTCCTCATCGACTTTGAACATGGGGGAAAATCGGGGGAGAAAATGACAGAGTTGTTAAAATGTTGGGATGATGGAACATTAGATCGCAAAAAATATACTAAAATGTCTGATATATACCAACTTGGGAAGTTGTTGGAGGAATTTCTTATTATGATTAAGTCTGAAGAGGGTCGGGACTTCATAGTTAAATTGAAAAGGAAGGAAATGGATGCGAGTGAAGCACTTAAGCATCCGTGGCTTATTAATTTATAATTTTTTTTCTGTAAGAAAAACCATTATGCATGTATTTTAATTTTTGCACATGAAAATACCTTGACCAAATAATTCCGCATGGTGTGAAACTGCACTAATATTTTTGTTTTTCTGGTCTATTCAGAATGTCACAATTATTATTATGAATTGAATTTCAGTCTAAATTTTCGGCATTGACAGAGCTTTAATTAGTGAACTTCTGTTTTATGTTACCAGTTTTGCGTTCATGTGAAATTCTTTACTACAACTGAAATAGAAAAAAAATTATGGCGATGATGATAGTGGAAAAATTTCAATTCTCTATGTTTATCCGAAATCTTTAAAATTTTCCAAGAATCGAAAAATCTACTAGAATTGGGATTTTAAATGGCATCATGATCTGCAGAGGTTACACCTTTTTGCAAACCGCGCTGTTTATTTTATATTGCGTCCGATCCTCGAATAATTATTTGAATGACATTCTTGATTTACACAGTGACAATGTTAGACGTCACTTTCAAATTTCCGTCAATTAAAAATTGACGTACGTAGCTTCGAAATTGTAAGTTAAAGTACTTCATATTTTAATCGGTATCGGTATGATTTTATATTAAAAAAAAATTCGCAACACAAATCAAATTATTGTATTTATTCCCATTACGATTGTTAAAATCCACAAGTTGAAGATTAAACAACTGCTAAGCGCTATATGACTTTTGCATGTACCTCAGCGAATAAAACCATAACGAAAGTATAAAGACAACTCCTACTTTCACAATTTGTTTTATTACAATGACAGCCATCATTTTTCTTTAAACCTTGTTTAGTTTCTTGGTTGGATGTTTATTTGTAATATTTATTGGTCGGGTTAAGTTTTGTTGATTTCGTAAAAAAATAAATTTGTCCATTGAAATTACATCAAGTTCAGGAAATTCATCAGTATCCAAGGGTCTAATTCGTTTGCTGAAAATCATATATTCAGAATTCCAAACTTGCTTCCAACTTGATATGAGTCACAATGTTCGTCTATCCATTTTTAGCCTATCAATATCAGGAATC